AAAATTGTATAGATGGACAACAGATTAATGGTTTCAAAGGGTTAGGGTTAGGGGGTGGATACGAAGGGGTAGTACAAGAGATCCTTGTGGTAATGATATAATTTTGTATCTTGATTGTGATGGCAGTTACAAGAAGTTAACATGATAAAAATTGCATATAATTATATATATATCCACACACAAATGAGCACATGCATAACTGATAAAATCCGAATAAGGTCTGTGGATTGTACCAATGTCAGTTACCTAGTTTGATCTTGTACTATAGTTATGCAAAATGTTAACATTGGGGGAGGCTGGGTGAAGCAGGCACACACTCATGAATCTAGAAATCTTTCATAATAAAATATTTTGAAAATACACAAATCAGCTATTCTTTAACAGTCAGAATATTTGCATTTTTAAAAAATCCATACAACTAGATCAACCATAAATTTAACGAGACAAGTCTGCCTAAAGTCAGTTCGTAGATTAAAGTTTTAGGAACTCTTGTTCACAAAGTATAAATAAAGCAGGAGAGCTTAGCTCTCACAGTTTACCCTCAAGAATCATGTTCTCCTTCACCCTGACTGTTCTACCAAAGTGAGGGCATCTGCAGACTTGACATGTCTGGAGCACTCTGGGCTCAGGATTCCTGCAAAAGTCACCCAACTTCAATTTCTCCTTAAATAGAATTTAAAAAATAACGATAATTAAAATATATTGAGCATTCAACAACTCAACTACCAGCTACACAGTAGAAGGTAAGAAGAGGACTCACAAGAAATGAGAAAATATGGTCTTAGTTCATATAGCTTAAGATGTGGGAGAAATAATGCACAGTTATGCTTTTTAAGCCTGTGGGAATATATTTGGAGGACAATAAGAGAAAAAATTTGGCGGTAGAATAAATACTCAGAATATAGATATTCAGTCTGATTTAAGTATTTGTTAAACACTTATCTGGGGCATCTGCAGTGTGACTGACCGACTGAAGCTCTGGGCTTGCCAGGGAGCCCGTGGCCTTGGAACTTGTGACAACAGCAGCACCGGTGTGACTCCAACACTATCTCTACTACTACTGCTAACTGGTAGTTATTCAGCACGATGTGTTAGGCACTGTGGTGAGCACTCTACAAATATCACTCATACAAATATCATCACAAGAACCTTGTGAGATGGCATTATTATCCAGGTTTTAAAGATGAAGAAACTGAGAAGAGAGATGTCTAGATACTTTCCAAGGTCAGCCAACTAGAAAATGTCAGAATCCAGATTGGAATGCAGGTCATCTGATTTCAAAATTCAGGCTTTAATCACTAATCCATGTGTCTTTCCCAAAGCCTGCCTTAAATCCTCCTCTTTGCTGCCCATTTCTAGGAGTCTCAGTTGCTTTCCGCCAGACCTCGGGGCTCTGGGCATTTCCTTGATTTCATATTTTTTCTGCTCTGCCTGCTTTCCCCAACAAACTCCAGGCGGAGGATGGAGCAGGGCCAAAAGAACAGGCAAGGGAGATCTTCCAGCAGAGCTTTATGTGAACAGAGTTAGGTGGACACATGATGGGGGCAGATAATGAGAGAAGTGTGTGCACACATGTGTTTGTGTGTGTGTGTAAGAGAAATTTTTTTCACTGATTTAGTTTTAAGGGTAAAATGGGTTAGTAAAGTAATTGAGTCTCTTTCTCAGGCCTTTTTAACTAAAACAGTTTCTTCCTTAGAGGTCTGAGAATATGCAAGGACAAAGAATTCTCTGGGAAGATTCCTCTACTCCTTCACACTCCCTTGGGGGCTTACTCTAGGCTGGCTTCTGCATAAACAAGACTACCACCTTGTTCCAGTTATCTTTTGCTGTGTAACAAACCAATTCTAAACTTAGATAATATAAATTGTTCTTATCTCTCAGGGATCTGCAGGTTGACTGGGCTGAACAGAGCAGTTCTCACTCGGGGTCTCGCATACAGTTGCAGTCAGAGAGTGGCTGGGTCTGGAGTCATCTGAAGGCTTCTTTCCCGGAGCCTAAACTTGAATGGCTGGAAAATCTGGGGCTAGTTGGGCTTCTCTCCATAGAGCCTCTCCACCTAGCTGGCTTGGGCTTTCTCACAGCACAGTGGTGTCAGAGTAATGGGCAGTCATGCACTGGGCCTGGCTTGTACCACCTCGTAAGAGCAGATTCGGTGTATTTCTTTCCAACCCTGCATTCAGTGCTGTCACTTTGGTAGTTTGAAATCAGCCATGGTGGGAGAGAGTATTTGTACCGTGAAAACTGGGACACTACAAATCAAGGATTCCTCCCTGCCCCTCACCCCCCGCCGGAGAGCCAGGTTACCAGTGCGTGACTTTACACGGCTTGCCCCAGAGTGAGTGGGCCAAGAAACCCAGGAGGAAGCTGCAAAGCTTCTTAGAACTTAGCAGGCATGTCCCCAAATGTCACTTTCTTCTCATTTTATTGGTCAAACAAGTCCCTAAGGCTAGCTCAGATTCCAGAGGAGGAGAATTATCATCCATGTCGCATGGAAAAGTAGCAAAGAAATTGTGTAGAATAGGACCTGGCACAGAGTAGGCGCTCAATAAATGCTTGATGAATGAATGAATAAAGTCATTTAAACACTAATCTGTACGACCTTAAATCGCCCTTAAATTATAAAGTCTTCTGGGAAATTTTACTTCAACATCAGAGAAGCCAATGATTTTTAAGTCGCCAAATAACCTAAATCTAAAATTGCTTGACATAGATCTATTTACACTCTGTCTGCAGGTATTCACAGACCTGTTTACTCAAGCCCTTTTGAGTAAAGGGCTTGTGTAATTAACTGGTACTGTACACGTGACAATTGCAGAATGCATGTCTTATAGATGTTTTTATACTATTTGAGTTTGCTTTACCTCGCTGAGTAAACTGCACATTCCTTAAGAGAGTTCTTATGTATTTCTTGCCACTCCTCTTCCTACCCCTCCAAAAACAGATCATTATACATGCATGTACACAGAAATACTTACAAGATATATGATAGAGATTATAAGCCTTAAAAGAAAAGGAAAGAAGGAAAGGAACAGAAAATTTTTAGTAGCTATGTTTCAGAGCCTTCCATCAATGTTCTCATTTGATTCTTATATTCACCCAGTGAAGTAGGCATTATTATTTCCATTTCACAGAAATGAAAACTAATCTCAAGAAGGGTTACCAATTTGGTCAAGGCCACACTAGTAAGTGGAGGAGCTGGGATTCAAATGTAGACCTGCATGGTTGCAAGGCCTGAGCTTTATGCATTCTTCAGGCCATCTTCCTACTGCAATGGACACCCCCATCTTCTCCCATTCTCTCTGCCTCCCTCCTTGAACTATCTACAAGACTCACAAAAATGCTAATGCTTCTAAACCCCACGTAGGGTAATAAATGTTTCAAGTTCTGCTTTTGTAAAAAATGTCCTTTAATAATTGGGAAGACAAGGAGCTTCAAGTGTCTTATATTGGGAAGGGAGTGAGCCTGGCAGCAGGAAGGCCAGCTAAGAGGTGATTGCAATAACTTAGGCAGAGTGTTGGTGAGTTGGACCAAGGTAGTGGTGGTAGGATGGAGAGATGTGAAAAATTTTGAGGGATACTAAGAAGACAGAATCACCAGACTAGTGATTGATGGGTTGTGCAGGTGCTGAACAATCAATATAGAATCATCACTCTGGCTGCTCCGCAGATAAAGCCTTGGATGGGAAGTTTCTGTATTCCTGGAAGAAGATAAGGGCCTAAACTACGAAAATAGCCAGGGAAGTGGGAGAATGGATGGATTTGAGAGATAATATGGAGGCAGAATCTGCTGGATGTATTGATAAACTAGATGTGGGAATGTGAGGATGAAGGAGGGGTCATGGGTGAAGTCCAGAACTCTGTCATGGACATCCAGTTGCTTTTCATGGAGATAGGGGACACATGAAGAGGAGTGGATTTCAGGTAATGGTGAATTCTGGACGTGCCAAATTTGAGATGAGCATGAGCTAGCAGGCACTGCTAGCCAGTATGCAATTGCATTTAAAACAAAACTAGCATCTCTTATCTAAATGAGATTCTTTGCTCCCTTCAGAGGTTGTAGATGAACGCACTGAGTACTATGTGTGGCAGGGTTCTGTATCCAGTAATAAAGGGGCTCTGCAATTCTCAATATTTTCACTTCACAGTGGTTCAACTCTCTCTCCAAAAGCCATTTATCACCCTGTAGGCGCCTCCATCATAACCAAGATGTCTTTATTGAGCCTTCCAAAGTTAATAAGAGCTGTATGATTCAATCAGTGACAGTGACTCATAGAACTCACAGCAAGTGCTGCAGGGAGATTTCAGTGGTCCCTAGGACCACAGGTCTGCCTGCGCGCACACGCACGCACACACACACACAGAGCAAAACTCATGCCCATTTTCTTTACAACTCATATGGACAGGCACTAAGATGTGTTTGCACACTTCTGCCCCAGACAACAGCACAGCTATTGTTTACACAGGTCCCTGCATGTCAGAACAGGGAGCCTGGGCCCCTTTGCCTCCCACTACACTCTGAGGAAGAAGGGAAGCATTCAAGCCAGCAAATGAAGGCTCTTCAGAGAGCTGCTGCTTTTCTGCACATCAACCTTTGTCATGAGACCCTATCAGGATTCTACCCAAAACACAAAGCCAGTTGTTAGGAAGGCGCAGCGGGTAGGACAGCCCCAGCCCAAAGGAGACCATCTGCAGTTGCTCCACCAACATGCTCATTAAATGACTATTAGAACAGGCACCGAAACCAAGCCCAAGCCCAGATTAGATTTCCATGCCCACTGTGAGAACCCGCCACTGCAGCTCTGAGCTGAGAGGGGTTCTGCTCACCCAGCCCAGGGCCTGCCAGCCCACCAGGTGGAGACCAGCTGCCTGGGAACCAGCCATCCTCTTCACCCAATCGAGTGTCTTTTGACCTGACTCCAACTTTACCCAGAGATGCCCTCCAAAGTCCCCCTCAAATCAATCTTTCCTGGATGGAAACCCGCTAAATAAGAGCTTCCTTACCTGAGAGAAGGTCCTGGTGACTGGCAGTGGAAAAAACAACAAGTTCTGATAGAAGTGACAGCGACTCACAGGGCAAATCTGTTGGTTTTAAAAGAAGAAAGGTGACTTCATCCCTGGTGCCGTGGAGTTTAAAAGAGCAACGAGTGCTCCCTGGCTGAGCCAACTCTGCCTCATCAGTGATGACTCCATCCAAATTATGCAGCCACTGCCCAGACATGCTCAGCCTTTAGAAGGTGGATCACTGGAATCTGACGAGCCCTGTTGTTTTCAAGAGCTTCAGAAAGTCCTGAAGCACCGATCACCTTAACTGGCACCAGGGCTGGGGAAACTATGCACTTATTTTTCTGAGTCGTATCATTATGTCTCAAGAATCCAATTGTCTGAAAAACAGCGCTCAAGGGAAGGAAAATATGTATTTAAACTTCTGAGAGGTATAAATTCTTGGGGAGGGTGAGAGAGAGAGAATCAGCAAAGATATTTCAGTCAGGAGGAGGGCAGGAAGAAGCTAGAAATGATCACCTTGCTAAGAAGGTTCTCAGAGCTGGTGGATTTGTAAGTGTACAAAGGTGACAAACAGGTGATGGTTTGGACTTTGCAGAGGGAAAAAGATTCAATTAAACAAAAAGGATGAGTCACTGTACGGAAAGAAAGTGTGACAGCCTTTCTAGTGAAGGCAACCGATTTTTATTCTCTTTTTATTGAATATGGCACCACTCGACCAATTTGGGATCATGTGTAACATTAATATATCAGCTCAAAACATGCCCACATTCCACCAAGAAGATTTGAGAAAGAGACATTTAAGTAAAGAGTTTTCTCTTTGGTATCATTAAAGACGAGACTGGAGCAATCGGATTTGTATGGGATTCAAGGTCACGTCAAGCTACCCAGTAGGCCAGGCACCTCTCCTTATGCCACGTCCTTGTGCTAAACTTTGAGCAGGACTTCTGGCTGTGGTGCCCAGGCAAAGAATGGTAACAGGCATGACTTCTGTTGGAAGTGGGGCAGAGGGTCAAGCTTAGGAGCCAACTGCCCTTTCTCTCATATCCCTACTTCAGGAGAGTGTAAGGTGACTTTGGGTCACTAGGCATGTGTCCAATTTCTTGCTGAGCTATTTTGAGGCTCTGGGGATCTTCTTGTGTCAAGTTTCACTCTAGAGAGGGTAAAACAAGAAAAATCTCTTTCTGTTTAGATAGAGGTATTCAGGTCCATTAGAAAGGGTTTTTTTTTTTTTTTCCAATTTTTATTGAGGTCATAATAGTTTATAACATTGTGAAATTTCAGTTGTACATTATTATTTGTCAGTCACCATATAAATGTGCCCCTTCACCCCTTGTGCCCACCCCCCAACCCCCTTCCCCTCTGGTAACCATTAAACTGTTCTCTTTGTCCGTGTGTTAAACAGTTTATCTTCCACATATGAGTGAAATCATGCAGTGATCGTCTTTCTCTGTCTGGCTTGTTTCATTTAACATAATACCCTCCAGGTCCATCCATGTCATTGAGAATAGGGCAATTTTGTCTTTTTTTATGGCTGAGTAGTATTCCATTGTATATATAGACCACATCTTTATCCAATCGTCAGTCGATGGGCAGCTGGGTAGCTTCCATGTCTTGTCTATAGTGAATAATGCTGCAATGACCTTAGGGGTGCATAAGTCTCTTTGAATTGTTGATTTCAAGTTCTTTGGATAAATACCCAGTAGTAGGATAGCTGGGTTGTATGGTATTTCTATTTTTAATTTTTTGAAAAATCTTTGTACTGTTTTCCATAGTGGCTGCACCAGTTTGCATTCCTACCAGTAGTGTATGAAGGTTCTTTTTTCTCCACATCCTCTCTAACATTTATTATTTTTTGTCTTGGTGATTATAGCCATTCTAACGGGTGTAAGGTGATATGTTAGTGTAGTTTTGATTTGCATTTCCCTGATGATTAGTGATGTTGAACATCTTTTCATGTGCCTATCGGTCATCTGTATATCTTCTTTGGAAAAATGTCTGTTCATGTCCTCTACCTATTTTTTGACTGGGTTGTTTTTTTTGTTGTTGTTGAGTTGTGTGAGTTCTTTATGTATTTTGGAGATTAACTATTTGATGGATATATGATTTTCAAATATTTTCTCCCAGCTGGTGGGTTGTCTTTTCGTTTTGCTCCTGGTTTCCTTTGCCTTGCAGAAGCTCTTTAATCTGATGAAGTCCCACTTGTTTATTTTTTCTTTTGTTTCCCTTGTCTAAGTAGACATGGCATTCAAAAAGATCCTTTAGAAAGGGATTTTTGAACTCAGAGATTTAAGAAATGTTAACATGGCTTATAAAAGGAACTTGCAAGTCTTCTTGTTGGGGTGTAAATAATGATAGAAGTAGAAGAGGAGCAGAGTTTCATCAATGGTCAGATAAAAAAAAAAGAGCTGGGGTGCCGGCCAGGCATTGTAGTGGTTAAGTTCACTCACTCTGCTTCTGTGGCCCGGGGTTCGCAGGTTGGGATCCCAGGCGCAAACCCACACACCGCTCATCAAGCCATGCTGTGGTGGCGTCCCACATATAAAAAATAGAGGAAGATTGACATGGACGTTATCTCAGGGGCAATCTTCCTCAAGCGAAATGGGGAAGATTGCCGACGATGTTAGCTCAAAGCCAATCTTCCTAACCAAAAAAATAAATAAATAAATAAAGAACAGGAGGCTTATTTAATTAATTAATTTATTTATTTATATTTGTAAGATTAGCCCTGATCTAACATCTGTTGCCAATTCTCCTCTTTTTGCTGAGGAAGATTGGCCCTACGCTAACATCTGTGCCCATCTTCCTCCACTTTATATGGGACTCCACCACAGCATGGCTTGACAAGCAGTGCATTGGTCCGCGCCCAGGATCCAAACCTGTGAACTCTGGGCCACCGAAGCAGAGCACATGAACTTAACCTCTATGCCACTGGGCCAGCCTGGAGCCATTTTTATTAGGTTTATCATAGTCTCCTCAAAGCCTAGCACAGAGAGTAGCATACAGTAGGTGCTGAGTAGAGAGAAAGTAAATGGAATCAGACAGCCCCTTCCTGTTCCAGATTTCTAGAACAGATCTGTTGAGAACTCTTAAAGTCACCCTCTGGTAAGGAAGGCAACTGCAGAGAGCATGAGCCAGTGGGTCCTATGGGATGCAAGAGGAACTTGGTCCTTTGCTTTGCCTCAACCCCCAGATTCATTGCCAACATTAGAACAGAGCAAAGAAAGCAAATTTCTGGATCTAGGAGCCTCCTTTGTCTACCCTGTTCCCCTATCCACCAGCTATATTCCCAGGGCCAGGACTCCATTTCATAGGCAATCTGCCAATTATCTTCAATTATCTTTTGTTCTCAGTGTTCTATTATAAAATTTTCAAATTTAGAGATATGCTGAAAGAATTTTACAGTGAACACCCATATACTCACCATGTAGTTTCTTCAATTGACAGTTTTCTAATTTGTTATATCATTTATTGTCTATCCATTTCTCTATCCATCTAGCAACTCATTTAATTATTTTTGTTATTGTGTTTCAAAGTAAATTGCAGACATTAATATGGTCTCCAAAAATACTTCCATGTTATTAATCAGAGTTCAATATTTGTTTACAATTCCTTTTGTTCTTTTCAAATAAAATTCACATACAGTACGATGCAAAAATCACCAGTATATCTTTTGATGAGTTCCTATAAATACACCCACCTGTGCAATCCAAACCCCTAACAAGGTACAAAACATAACCATCACCCTAGAAGGTTTCCCCACATCACTTCCCAGCAAACTTCTGTCTCAACACTCCTAGAGAGAACTAATCTTCTGATTTTTTTCACCATACATCAGTTTCACCTACTCTAGTACTTAATATAAATAGAATCATACAATTTGTTTTATTTTGTGGAAATTTTTGTTCACTCAGCATGTTTTTGGCATTCATCTATCCATGTTGTTGCTTGTATCAGTAGTTAGTTTCTTTTCATTGATGAATAGTATTTTACTGTATAAATATGCCACAGTTTATCCAGTCTCCTATTGGTGGAGACCTGGTCTTCCAGTTTGGGGCTAACATGAACATTTTTGGACACATCTTTTGTGGACATATATTTTCGCATCCCTTGGGTAAATACCTAAGAGTGGAATTGCTGGGTCTTAGGGTAGGTGTGTATTTAATTTATGAGAAGCTTTGAGATCTTTTTCAATGTTCTCATACCATTTTCTCCTCCTACCAACAATGTATGAGAGTTTTAGTTGCTTTATATCCTTCTGATAACACCTTGTGTTGTCAGTCTAATTTTAGCCATGCTAGTGAATGTAGAGTGGTATCTCATCATGGTTCTAATGTGCATGTCCTTGATGACTAAAGATGTTGCATGTTTTTTCATGTGCTTATTGGCCATTCATTTACCATCTTTTGTGAAGTATCTATTCAAATCTTTTGACCATCTTTAAATTGAGTTGTTTGTCACTTTTTTATTGAGTTTTAGGAGTTCTTAGCATAGCCAAAATGCTGATTCTTGGCCAGATACATATTGCAAATATTTTCTCCTGTCCTGTGGCTTGCCTATACATTTTCTCTCTCTCTCTCTCTCTTTTTTTTTTTCTGCTGAGGAAGATTTGCCTTGAGCTAACATCTGTTGCCAATCTTCCTCTATTTTGTATGGGGGTTGCTGCCACAGCATGGCCACTGACAGATGAGTGGTGTAGGTCCATGCCCAGGAACTGAACCTGGGCCGCCCGAGCGGAGCATTCCAGACTTAACCACTAGGCCACTGGGGCTAGCCCCGCCTATACATTTTCTTAATGATGTTTCTTCTACTGAACAGAGGTTTCATTTTGATTGTCTGATTTTTTTTCCTTTTTTGGTTTTTGTGTTTCCCCAAGTCTGAAGATATTCTCCCATGTTTTCTTCTAGAAGTTTTATTTAGCTCTTATGTTTAGGTCTATGGTCCACCACAAACTAATTTTTGTAGATAGTATGATTTAGGGCAAGGTTAATCTGTTTCCATATGAATATGTAGTTATTTCAACACCATTTGTTGAAAGACTTTCCTTTTCCAATTGGGTTGCTTTGACACCTTTGTCGAAAATAAAATAAATGTATAAGTGTGGGTCTACTTCTGGGCTCTTTATTCTGTTCTATCAATCTGTTTGTTGATCCTTGTGTCAGTACCACATTGTCTTGATTATTATAGCTTTAGAGTAAGTCTTGAAGTCGAGTAGTATAAGTCTACAACG